GGCCTTTTGCATGGAGCCGGGCCAATGCTAATTGCAAAGGAATGTCCAAGTCCGCAGCAGCGGGCGTGGGTAGCTCTTGGCCTGCTCTTGGCCACAGTTAATTGCCAAAAGATAGGGGCAGCGAATAAGGAAGGTCCATCCAAAATAAATATGCTAAATCCTACTCTAAAACCACGGCAAACATCTTTAGTTGGCACAATTAAATTTTAAAGCTAAGATCAAACCTATAGTAAAACTAAGATGATATTGCAAAGATATAAAAAGTGCTTGCTTTTATTTAAGCAAGCAAACAATTTTATGGAAGAAATAAGTCTTTATTTTGAAAATTCCTTCAAAATCAAAAATATGTGATGACTCCATAAGCAAAAAGTAAAAGAGTGCACAAACCATAAATTTGCATATTAAAGTTTTGGAAAAATGTGGCAAAACAACTAACTCCGCTGGTTGGAGGGCGGAAAAGCGAACGCCTTGAAGGACTCGCCCGCTCCGTTAAAGAACTTGGACTGGAACTCCACCCAGTGGAGGCGCAGGGTGTGCAGGAAGGCGCTCAGACCCTCCATCATCACCAGGATGGCCACCGTAAGGACGGCCCAGGCGAAGAAGGAGGCCATCAGCATGGGCACGGCGTAGTACAGCGGCAGGTTGTTGGAGAAGCCCTTGTTGAGGACCATGTGCCACAGGACCTCGGACAGCTGGTCGTGGGCCAGCGAGAGCGCCCAGAGGCGCAGATAGGAGGCGGTGTGCGACACCGAGCCCAGCACCGTCTCGATGGTGTGGATGCCCGAGTGGATCCAGATCTCCGACATCTCGAACTCCTCCTCGTTGTCGACGCCCTTCGCACCCTTGCCGGACTCGCCGTAGTCGTCATCGGTGTAGCGCATGGTGGAGCGCATCTCCCGGATCGTCTGGCGTCGCATCGGCTTGAGGTCGCGCGACTCACGCAGCTTCTGCTTGCGGCGGCGGAGCAGGTAGAGCGGCTTGCCGGCCAGCAGGATGGGCACCGTGCAGAGGGCCAACACCACCAGGGCGTACTCCACCAGCCGCTCGAAGGGGTACATGTCGCTCAGGCAGTTCTCCGGCGGCTGTTCGTTCTTCATCAGCATCATGTTGATGAAGGTGATCAGCACCGAGGGCGCACAGGCCGAGTTGTAGGGCGTCGGCTTGTGACCGCCGAAGGCCATCCACTTGAAGAAGATCAGGAAGACGAGGTAGCAGAACAGACAGATCATGAACACCATCTGGGGGATGACCACCAGGAACAGGTCGGCCTTCTTCTTCAGCAGCACACAGTTGGCGGCCGCCAGGCCCAGGCCGAACATCATCTGTGAAATGCCCAGCACGATGGCCAGCTTCATCTTCATCGAGTTGGTGGTGGTGATCGAGTCCTGGCCGCACACGGCCCACACCGGGTCCATGCCGATGGGGTACGGGTTGCCCGAGTAGAAGTTCGGATCGGCGGCGTTTAGGGTCAGCTGGGACATGTGGTCCTCCAGCGTGGTCGCGTTGTACCGACAACTCCAGCTGGAGTCGAACAGATTGAACCCCTTGGACATGACGATGTTGTAGATGAGGCCCATGTAGGCGGAGAAGATGCCCATCAGCAGGATTATGTAGCGACCCGCGAAGAGGATGTTCAGGATCTCGTTCTCGGACGTCGAGGCAATCTGGTACTTCTGGATCTCCTTGTGCTTCCAAATCATCAGGCTGGCAAACAGGATCAACAGAAGGCCGTGTCCCAGGTCGCCAAACATCACGGCGAAGAGGAAGGGAAAGGTGATGATGGTGTACGGAGCGGGATTCAGCTCCTTGTAGTCCGCCATTCCGTAGGCATCGATGAGGTTCTGGAAGCCCCTTGTGAACCTGTTCAGTCGAAAGTACGTCGGCGGCATGTGATTGACCAATCGGTTCTTCTTCAACAGAATGGCCCTCGAAGACATGTCCTCCTCCGGCTGGAAGTCCCGTTTCATTCTTTTGCCTATTGCTGCCTCTTCGTCCTCGTCCACGTCCTTGTCTGCGCCTCCACTCATTCTGGAGGTATTGTGCAGGATTTTCCGCACTTCCTCGACATCCGAGGTCGGTATGTAGACCTCGGCCAGCAGATAGCGGGGCACCTCCAGTCCGCCCACCAGCCGCAGGCGATTCATCAGGTCGTAGACCCTGAGCGCCTTGCGCAGATTCACCCGCACAATGAAGAGGTCTTGGCCAGCCACCTCCAGGATCTGGCGGCGCATCGCCTCGGCCTCCTTGAGCACCTTCTCGACGTTCACTATCTCCTGGCTGAGCTCCCGCACCCGCTCCTCCCGCTCGCTGGCCGACCGCGGGCAGTCGTAGACATTGACGTGGTAGTGGCCGCAGATCTTGAGCACCTTGGGCCACAGCATCGTGGCACTGGCCATCAGGAGGAGCGCAAACTTGCGCACCTTCTCCGGCCGCTGGCCATGGTGGTACTCGTAGACCGGGTCGGGCATCTCGGCAAAGCGAACGATGAGGTTGAAGGAGCACAGGCGGTAGAGCAGCAGCTCGAAGCTGTAGAACTTGTCCGCCCGAATGCAGCCGATCAGGTAGTTCAGCTGCGACTGATGGGCCGCCGCGCTGGCGTCCTGCACCAGGCCCACCATCGTGCTCTCCGAGTAGAGCAGCTCGCTGCCCATGTCCGCGGTCATGTACTTGTTGGCTTTGGCTATGGCGAAGCTGTGCTCCATCATGCGGTACCGCCGGTTATCCAGCCGGTAGTAGTGCTCCGTGACGGCACTGGCCTCCACGTGGATGCGCTTCAGTCGGGTCTCGTACTTGGCCAGATCCTTCTCCCGCATCCGCTCGTCGCGATCCACGTCCGGGTAGAAGACCTCGTTCACATGCAGCTGGGTGATCTGGTTGTGCAGGCTCTCCACCACACGCAGCAGGTCGTGGCACTGGGCCACCTTGCGCGAGTAGAGGTTGTTCAGCAGCCGGTCCTCGTCGTAGACGTTGTTGAACTGCGCCGATCCGTGGTGACCCAGCTCCATGAGGCAGTCGAAGGCGTTGTCCGTGTGCAGCAGCAGCTGGCGCAGCTCCATGTCCTCGCTGCGGAAAAAGGACTTGACCTTCGTCTGACGTTTCTTGAACATTTTCCTTGTGCTGAGTGTCGGTCGCACAACACAAGTGATCGCCAAACAAAAAAAAAAAATGATACAAATGTGACGGGTTTTTCGAATCCGTTTGTTTTACAACCTATGGTACTTCAAAAAACAAGCATAATTTTTTCAAAACTCTGTTCAACATTTCAAGTAAATTAGTATAAAATCTGAAAACATTTATTAGGGCTATTAAGCTTTTCTTGTAATTTATAAATTCTGCAATCTTGCTAATACAATTTGGTATTTGTATTATTTTGTAATGCAATTACCTACTCTCTTGGCCAGCTCTGTTCGCTTTGTTTTCGTTTTAGGTTGGGGTATTTGACTCCTGCTAATTGATACGTTTGCCTGCCTCTCCTTTGTTGGCCCTCGTTTTTTGTTGTTTATTTAATTCGAGTAGCAAACATGTCCAGGTCCAAGCCGAGCTGCCCCCCACTCGAGATCAACTGCAGATAATTTCATGCTTTGCATGCAAACTCGTTGCAGTTGCCATTGCAGCCACGCCCACACCGCCGCCCCCGTCGCCGCCACGGTAGAGTGAACCAAAACTGGCCAACTGCAATTTATGCCCTTGTCTTCTCGGCTGGGAACACTCATTGTCAGACAGCTCAGAAGTTGTGGGAATTCTTGCATACGGTAATTTCATTATACCAAATGTGTCATACTTGAGTGAGTTTTATAACAAAATTCTCACTTCAATTAGATGGTTGCAAAACGCTGCAAGAATTTATCATAAAAATTATAGTTTTAAAAAGTTACCAGCAAATTTGTAATAATAGTTCTCATAAACCGTAATACGATTACCTTAAGCAACAAAAGAAGCATAAATGTTTTGTTTGGCCAACACAGCTCTATAAACTTGTCACAACGATTTGTTGACATGGCACAATGGTATAAATATTTATGATATCATTTAATGATCATTTAGTCTTATGGAACGGTTTTGTTTAGAAATTTGGGAATAAATTAACATATTTTGCTATTTGTAATAAAATCAAAGCTGAGCTTAGAGTTTTTAGGACTTTATTTTAGTTAAAATTAAAGCTTTCTTCAATTGGTTTTGATCAAAGACAAAGTGTTTGTTTTAGCTTGACAGTATTTCACTTTTGTTTTTCGGTAATACATTATTCTTACACTAAAAATGTTGTTCACACTTTGTTGGATATTCATTTCATTTCCAATGGCAAAACATTTTCCCATAAAAATCGACTTCACATCGCATTCAAAGACATTGAAATTGTTTGGTAATTTGGTCTGTGAGTGACTGACGGCCCATTGAAATGGGTTCGAAAAGCATTTTTGGCTCATTAGCCGTTGCTAAAAGGAAAATGGACATTACACACTCAAGTGAAAATTGTTTTGGGACCGCTTGTTCGTTTGTTAGCACTTCCACGACAATGAAAGTAAAAGTGCCACAGCCGAACTGCACTTGATAATTTCTTTAGCAAAGCTTTGACAATAAAAGTGCTATTGCTATTGCCATTGTTAAGCGGCAGTTCGATTTCATTAGCCCGCTGGCGCTGCAAAGAAATTAAGTCACCGAATTGAAAGTTTCGAAAGCAAGAGTGAACAAAACCAAGGCAGAAAGTTTTCACTTTTCGGCTGTGCGCGACAATTGCAGGCAATAAATCAAATCGAAATCGAAGTCACTTACAGAACAACGGGGTAACATGTGTTGCCGCCTTGTGAGCGTGTCTAAAATAAATAGGGAAACAATGTCAATATGTGGCTGACGGCAAAGGCAGTTTTTGAGATCTTTTGAAGAGCTCAGTCCATAAGGGGAATCGAGTTGAGGAGTTCATTGTCTGCTTGAGTATTTCCACAAACTAATTTGCATTTCTCTTTTGCTTACTCATGTGTTTCTCCCCGCTTCTCTCTTTGCAGTGGTAATGTGATCGGCGATTTTCGGGAGCAATTAGAAGACCAAATAAAAGGTAAGCAGCAGCTGCCATCGATTTTGGCATTACGCCCTCGCACATCCAACTCAAGTCTCGGCCCAATCCAATCCAATCCAATTCAATCCCATCCAAAACAATCCATTTTATCTCACTCACTTTTCGCTGCGGCAAAGAGAAAGTGCATTTCATGTTTCTGGCCTCTTGGCCAAGTCTGTAATTTGCCAGAACCCGCAATTAACGCCTAAACAGACTGGGCCCAGTTATCTCCTTCAGTGTGGCAGTGCCAATCAAGTGCGTGGCTCGGAAATCAAGTGGACTTTGAAGTTAACATTTCATTTCGTTTGCTGCCTTTTTTAATTATAGAGAACCCGTCTTAAATTGCTGTGTGGGTGTTTCCCCGCAGAATTGGGTCAAGTTTGAAGTGACGACGGGGAAAACTGGTAGCGAAAGTTGAAAGTGACATTTTAGGCCCTATATTTGGGAGTTCTTAGTGTTTACTCATAACAAAAAAGCAAAGTCCAGAGCTTAGGTAATCGCACGCACTGGCTAAGCTCATCAGGTTCGTCGCTTAAGTCATTCGTTTTGGCCTCAGACTCCGGTGCGTGGACTGATAGATAGTTAGACCCGTGGACTTGGCACCGTTACCAGCCAGACGGCCAAGAGTGGCTGCCTCAAATTCTGCCTGACGGCGGCTTCATTAAAATGTCTGCCTGCCAGATTGGCCCGACCAAAACCGTTTTGTTGCTTTTTAAGAATACCTTTTAGTTATGGCTTAGAAGGGTAGGTTGATTACTTAATACTAAATATGAAGCAATTAAAGATTAGACGTAATCCTAATGAATTAATACATTTTTTTATATACATACTACTTATCTATTTTATTTTGTTAATTAATTTATTTTTATTAAACCGTTAAAAATAGCAAAACAATAATTAAATATTTTACGTTAGCCCGTTCTCTACGAGGAGGTCAAATAATTAACTTAACCAATAGAGGTTAAGTGTAACTTAATAACAGGTTTTCCTTAGCTTGATTTATTTATTTGTATTTAATAGATTCTTTAATTGCGATTTCTTATGAAGTTTGTGGGAATAATACAAAAAATTAATATAAACTAATATAATTTATTTATTTAAATTGCTATTATTATATATAATAATTAAATATTTTGCGTTAACCCGTTCTCTACGAGGAGGCCAAATAATTCACTTAACCAATCGAGGTTAAGTGTAGCTTAATACCAGTTATTTCTTAGCTTGATTTACATAGTTGTATTTAATAGAATCTTAAATTAGTTAATTAAATATTTAGTGAATTAAATATTTTGTGAATGTGAACTTAGTAGGAATAATACAAAAAATTAATAGAAATTTGTATGAGTTTTTTATCATTATTATTATATTTTTCATTCATTGATTTTATTTTTTATCCCAATTCGACAAGATAACAGTTACAGCTGCGGTCATTATAATAGTAATGGGACAATGTAAAGTGCTTGAAAACATACCCTTTAGGCATAGGAAAATTTGTGTTTCTATTTTTCTTAATTTATAGTTACCAATAAGCCAAATTTGGTTGAAAACAATTTGGATATTTTTGTTGTTTGTTAAGAAAAAAATAATTCTATAAAATTCACTTTTTAAAATACTTTAGTGGATAATTTTCAAACAATTAAAATAATCAAGATTCCACATTTGGGGAAGTGGTGTATTTCAGAGGATCAAGAGTCAAAGTCAAGAAACCTTCGTTTAGGGTATCTTAAAGTTCGGCAGTCGGTCAACACAGATTCTCTCGTTTGAAATTGAAACGTCTCTGTCTGGTGCTCTGGTGCGGCGACTCCAGCAGCTGGGGCTGCAACTACTTGCGAGTACCTTGGCAAATGCATCATCGTCTGTGGCACGTCGTGGATGTCAGCTTATCTGGCCAGACAAACGCATCGCAGATGGTGGAAAAGGGGATGTTGGGGGGGAGGGGTGCTTATCTTTGGGCCCGCTCAGGGTCTTTTCGTCCGAAGCTTCCGCCTTGGCCCGGTCAACTTCTACTCTAACTTCGACTTCAACTTCAGCTCGAGACTCCAACGCCGCCACCAGCGAGCAATTTTCAATTTGCCAATTGTAGCAGTAAACTTCTTTATAGCTGTTCTTTCTCTCCGGCTTCTCTGCCATCTTCTTGGCCATACTCTGCTGGCCCGGGTACCGTTAGCTTGGGTGCTCATGTGGATGGGCTTTAGGTGTTTGTCTTGACTCCAGTTGGCTTGTCTTGACTCCGCTTCACCTGTTTGCATGTGTGCTCCCACCGTGTGTGCGTGTTGGGCTGGCCTCCACTAATTTGCGACAATTGGCCAGGCCATTAGCCGGGCTCTCGATGGGCCGGAGGGGGCGTGGCACTGACCATGGTCGGACCGCAGTTCAGCCGGTGAAGTGAAGTGAACCAGCATATATATCAATTTATCGAGGAATTCTGGCATGAAATTATAAATGCAAAGATCTTTCTTCGTATTTTGAGTGACTTAACAAGCCGTTGGAAGGGCACTGGCCGCAGCGAGGGTTGTTACGGAAGTTCACCATAAATCGGAATTCCTATTTAATTGGATTTGATTGTGTATTATAGGGAAATAATTATGTGCGAATTCAAGGAAATCAAAGGTCAGATTCACTGACGTGTGTAAGGTTGAAATGTTTCTATTTGGAAACTTTGAAACATATAGTTAAAAACAAAATGATGTCTTCAAATATCATAACACAATTATCCATCGAAGGAAGCACTTATTTTTACCCAACAGAAACACAATGAATGAAAAATAAGTTAATTGTATATTAAATTTAAATGTTTTTTAAACTTGTAAAAAACAAAGCAAAAAAGTAGTCTAATTAAAAGTGTACCATTTCATTTCAACTTACGAATATGATTTCAATCACTGAAAGATAGCTAAGAGACAAACAAAAATTAAGCTGAACATAAAAAGCAGCTAGCCCATAAGCTAATCTGCTGATGGCTGTAAAAGAAGACTAAAACGGAGGTTTCTTTGAAATACGATCCCATCTGACTCATTTCTAAGCCAGCCGACCATAAAAACCTCTCCCCATAAGCGAAAAACCCCAATTAGTGAATGACCCTTCAGGTTGGATTTATGTTCCATAAATATCGAACAATTGACAGACAGTCGGCGTTATTCTTGTAGCAGTGGCAGCACTTTGGCGTAACTGCAGCGACCACAAATCTTGACCAGTACTTTTCCGCTAGGCGGGTAAAAAACTGCAGCCACACATGGGTGGAAATTCATTAGACACACGCTGGTTTGCATGATTTCGGCTTAGGGTTTCGTTTATTTCTACTTTTTTGTTTTGTTTCGTTTCGTTTCGTTTTTTTTTTTTTTGTTTTGGTTTGGCAACATGAGCGGCCAAACATGACCCAAATTTCGCCTATGACCGCACACATGGGCTGCACCGGGGTCCAGGCTGTAAGTTCCACCCCCACAGGGGGGCATTCAGAGCCCCCACCCATTCGCGGCTTGAGTTCAAAGTGAAATTTTGTACTTTGATTGTTGTTCACATGACCGCGATTGGTTTGTCAGAACCCAATCAACACATCATCAATAACAGTGGGGAATAATTCGGCGTGTTCTGGCGTTGCTGTCTGATTGGTTCTATGCTGGAGATTAATGGCACACAAACTCACGGACGAGCAATGCAAACACCACCTCGGAAAACAAACAGCAAACAAATGGCCAAAGCAAATGCTGCGAGGTGGGGTTAGGGGGTCACTCCGAAATGGACGTTGATTATGGAGCTGCCAAAACAAAAAAGCGGCTGAAAACTTAATGTAAGCCAAACGGAACAGTTTGTGGTTTTTTGTACATTTTTCCAGCGGCTCGTGTGGGTGTCTGTGGCAATCTGATTGCCACTGTCCACTGGCAATTTGATTGCTCCTCTGTGTGTCTGAGTGGGAGCTACTGCTGCTGCAATTGATGCCTGCAATTATCCCCAAAAGCCACACAAACAATGCGCAAATTAAACGCAATAAACAAAATCTGGGAGTGAAGGGGAGCGGGATTTGTGGTAGCCGACTAGCTGATTACTCGTTGAAAAATGAGTAAACTGCAGGGGATATAAAGCCTCTATGGACGATATAAGTAGCAGAGGATAGTTGCATACTGCCAACTTTATACATATTATTCTAAGATATTAAAAAAAAATGTACTTCATTTCAATTATGTTAAATTAAATAAAAACATTGTTTGCACATCATTATTTTAATGTTGGTTCCATGATTTTCTTTTCGACTTAGCTTTAAATATTACCAAACAATGGTAACAAGTTTCTACTACCAAAACAATGTCATAAATTAATATCTTGTCTATCTGTCTCAAATAAAAATATTTTTGAATTACCTACTGGTAAGTAGGTCAACCAATCTATTACTTTAACTAGATCTAGAACAAAAAAATAAACTGTACTTGAAAACAGGAAACGATCTAATAAACGTTGGCCATGAGTTATTAAAAGCATATAACAAATACTATAAAACAGATTATGGGAGCACACACCCAGCAAAAAAATGGGATTAGGAAGCTCTTTAGAGTAGCTAGTGGCAGCAAAATCCAGCAGCTGCCGGCACAGGGGCGTTGGGGCTGGGGTCGCAAACACCCCGCAGCGGGGGGCAATGTAAATATTTTACGCCACAATTGGCGCGTTGATTTGTTGCATATTAAACAACGGCCGCAGGCAGCGTAGGCCGCTCTACTGAACCACCAAATCACCGAACCACCGAGTGCAGCACCACCAATCGCAACGTATGTTTGTGGTGCAATTAGCTTTTTTCCGCTGTGGATTTCTGTGGGGCATGGCATTGGTTATGGCTGCGGCGCTCCCGTAATTTGCTCATAACCCGGCTAATAGACAGCGTCAAAGGCCCGAAAGCCAAATTGGGTGTGTTACAGTGTTGCCAAGCTATGTGTGGCTGGCGAGCACCGTCAGCACTCAGCTGCTGCCCGATTGTTCAGATGGATGGTTTTAATGCGCCAACCGATTTTTGG